TCAGCAGATACCTCTTGCTCTAAAGAGTGAGGAAATGCATGTGAGAAATGCTAACTTTAGAAGTTAAGCAAGTAAAAAACTTTCATGGTATGATTCATACCCTGAAATGCAGGTGTTCAATGCTGTCACCTTCGGCCCTGTCTTTCCTTAGCTCCAGTAAGATGGTGGTCAAGCATGTCTAAACATCATAGCGTACTGATTTTTCAGCAACTTCAAACATCTCTGAGTGAGAAATCTTTACAGATGTAGGAAGATCTTGATTTGAAACTTACTTCTTTTTATCATGTCAACTTAGATTTACCTGCCCAAAAGGGTCTATGCATTCTTGGTGAGTAAAGTTGTAGTCTTGAAACAACTTCCTCATTACTTCAATATCGTTCTCCGCACCAGTTCTACCTGTTGTCACACACATCAAGAAAGCCATGCGTCCATTCCTCATGTCATACTCTTCCTGTTGATCCAAACCAATAACACAAAATGTTTACACATATGTAAGATCTGCAGCTTGACAGAACAACCTTGATCTAACACTTTGCACTTTTCTCCATGCAATGTAAATGACTGGGAGCCCTATCCTGCAACACTATAGCAAAATCTAAGTGGAGATGGGCACAGAAACTATCTGTAGGATCAGGCCCTGTCTGCCCTTGTCAGCACTAGCAAAGGTAAAAATAATTCAGTTGCACCTGTAGATGAGTCAAGCTACTTTCAGCACCATTTTATAGCGTAGTCCTGACAAGCTCAAAAGCATATTCTCTTCCTTCTTATAGCACCCTAAATTAGGATTTAATTTACCTCAACTGCATAAAATTAAAAAAAACACATGAGGAGAATCAGACCAAAAGTTTAAAGTTAAATTAATCTTTAACATTAGCAGCAGCTTTTTATAGAAATGCATTTGGTGGTTCAGGATTTTTATGTAAATTATTTGTACATTTCAGGTGTAAAAAATGGTGTCTTCATCCCTGAATATTAAGCACATGGGCATTATTACGATATAAAAACTAAGCACAAGAAACGAATACATACTCATAGGAGATGAATTAGGTGACTATGAGGACCAAATTCTTTAAAGGGAGAAAAGGAAGGATGCTCTTTATCCCTCAGCCTTTGCAATTAGTTTTTATATCCTTGGCTTGTCTCTGAGGATAAGGCTTCTACTCATGGAATAATTTTGCCCTTAGTTACAGCTCTGCAAAACAACTAAAGTCTATTCAGGCAGAATCAGATGCACCATTTCTAGAAAAATGGGGTGAAACTGAGATTTGCGGATGTAAGTTGCAAAGCTGTCATCATCTTCAATGGGATTTTTTCATATTTAAATAATTATGTGATATCTAGGATGCAGCAGTTGTGTGCAACTATAGAAATGTGGGAAAGAAGAGTCTTTCTGATAAATTATTAGAACTTAGGTACATCAACAGCATATAGTAACTTCAGCAAACTGCTAAGAGCTCCAGAATTCTCCATGCTCTCTTTCTTTGTCTTCCATCACTTTATGAGGCTGAGGGGAGTATTTTCAGCACTCACAATTTAGGCATAAAAATAGCATTTCCTTTAATTCTACATACAATGACCTGTTGCTTTATTCCATTCCCCAGACCACATGATGAGGATGAAGTTGGTTCCTTATTCCCAGTTCCCAGTTCCTTATTCCTGGTTCCCTTTTCAAAAGCAATCTATACCCAATAAAAGCTTGTCATTCAAGAATTACACATTCTAAGGAGATAAGGAGATAATTTCATCAGCTATGTACATTTATTAATTAATATGTAAAATAATATCCTGCATCAAGTACTAGCCCCTAAACAAAGATCAGATTAGAATGGGATTAGGGGGCATAATACTTCTTGGGCCACCCCAGACTGCCTTTCTCTGCTATTGGGTCACTGTCCCAAAGAACCTGGACTGCAATCCTGTCCAGCTCAAAGCTCAGTTTGTAACAGTAACAGCATGAACAGACCCTTTCCCTTTGTTTATCCATTACTTTTGTATCTTTTGTAACTTCTGTAACATGCCAAATTGTCCAACACTTTGCCAACAGCAAGGGGCGATGAGGGACTGCCCGCAGATGCCACTGGTGGTGCCGGTGGCGGTGTGGTAAGCAGCAACCGCCCGCAGGCACCACTGACAGTGTTGGCGGCACCTTTTTGCAGGGGGTGCACTGCCATGCGCAGGGGGTGCACATGCACCTGCATACACCCCCTACGCATCACCCCTGCCCTGCCCATGTCTCGCGTACCCCCAGGGGTATGCGTACCATGGGTTGAGAAACACTGGCCTAGACTATGGCTAAGAGCTTTAACAACACTCAGTTTGCCTGCTACACTGTTACCTAGCAACCTGAAAAATAATAACATGAAAACCAGTTACCAGCTCATCAGGGCTGCTCTTGATTTCATTGTGTGTCTGCTGAGCCGCTTGCCAATTCTCATTTGTGGGGACAGCCACTGGGCCTGCAGTTGAAAAACAAAAGTGTCAGTGTGACTCAAAGTATGGGTAAGATGACTGGCTTTCGCTTTCGATTTTGTAGCCTGCTTTGCAGGGCACCACGTCTACAAGGTCTCCAGCCCCTGCGATGTCCAGATGAGACCCCCATTTCCCCCTGCCCGGGGCTCACCTCCCAACCGCTGCACAGGCTGGCCGGCAACAGCTGGGGAGGGCTGGCATGGCCCAGAGGGAGCGAGTTTTGAGCAAGGGTTATGAAGGCCGCACCAAATGTTTGCTCTGCAGCCCCGGAAAGCCAGGAGCTGCTCTCCAGGCAGCCCCGCGGCCCCTTCCAGCCACAGCCAGCCCCAGCGCTGAGCCCCGGCCTTCCTCCCGCCCGCACCAGAGCGGCAAGGGAGCGGCCTGGGGCGATGGAGAGGCTCCTG